AGGAGGTAAAGGCTTTAAATATTAATACTAATAATAACATGATCTTAGATGCACAGTGGCTTCACACATAAAATACAATACAGCTAGCTTCTATTTTCTTGTTACACTACCTAATTTATGTAATCTCCCAGCTGCTTTAGATTTTTTTTTTTTTACCGTTATTTATCTTAAATGTCTTCCTATGGAATTTAAAATTAATTGACAATAACACTTTCTAAACACAAATAAACTACTAATCATGCATACTGTGTAGTTGTAGCAACAGGAATGGGAATAATGTAAGTTTAATGTGAAGGAGCTGCAATGGGTTTATTGTCTTTCAACAGCAACAAAGTGCCAACAGTGATGCTGACGGAGGCTTTGCTGGTTTCCCTGGTGCCTTCCCTGGTAAGATTTAGAAACGGGTGGTGCCATGGCATGTATTTGTAAACTTCATAATTTTCTAGTTGCTATGAAAATGTAAAGTTTTTAAAGTTAATGCCGTGCCTGCGTTTAACTAAGCTACTAAGTACTATACACAGGAATTTTATTTTTACTCTTAGTTTACCCCTTTTCTTTCAACTGATAAAAATTAAGTTGTTGTAGTTGCAGCTGTTAAAGAAATTGTTTTTTTCAATGATACTAGATCTCTGTTGCTGGAGTTGAAAATAATATATATACCATTTTGATATCAGTTTCAATGCTATTTCATGTTTCCAACACATGAAACTAGTTTCTGACTAGTTTTTGTCTTATTAGGGACACTGCACTAAAAAAAAAATTGTGACTTGTTTCAATGGTCTAAAGAGCCCCAACACATCTACATTCATTATTATTGATTTAACTTGAACACTTAAAAGTAAAAGGGATGCCCAAAGTATTTATTCTACAATATTTAATCATGATAATGTGTGATTAATTGTTTTAAAACAAAACACTCAACAAAATTTTTTTTCAACTGCAAAAAAAAATTTAAAAATATAAAAATCTACAATCCTTGGTAATATTGCTTCACATATGATAAAGACAACACTATTTCATTATGTAAATCTCCATTTAGGTTCAGCTGGCGGTATGCCTGGCATGCCAGGACTCTCTCAGCTGTTACAAGACCCAGAACTATTGCAGGCCTTTCAGGTTTGATTTCAACATTTTTTAATGCAATATTTTCAGCTTCTCTTTAAGCACAAATACACTAATAAGGGAGTGCTTAATTTACTAGAAGGTACAATTCAATTGTAAATGAGGTCATCTCTGCTTAACCTGAACATATTTTTTTATTTCATTATCGCTTTCTTTGTTTTGCAATGAGAGATTGATTTTCTTTAATTTATGTTTTCTTATTATAAATGATAAACTCAGAGCTAAACATTGAATTTGGTTTCAATTAAGACTGTAAAGGGTTATAGGTCTATGTTCCATACTATAATCTTTAGACTGCATTTCCTTTTATTTATTTTTTTGTGTGTTTTTTTAAATTATTATTTTTTCATAACTATACAAAAAGCATTTTAGGTACATGCTTTTTATTTATAAATATAAAAATTTAACCAATGGTTAAGGTTGTTAAATTAAAATTAACTTTGGTTTTGCGTCATGTTTTTGTTACCAGTAGAAAATGTTATCGTTTCAGGACCCTGAAGTAGCTCAAGCTTTCCAGGATGTGGCCATGAACCCTGCAAATATTTCCAAATATCAAAACAATCCCAAGGTGCAGGCTGTCATTAACAAAATGGCCACCAAGTTTGGCAGTGGGGAAGGTGGCCCTGGCTTCCCCGGTGCTTTTCCTGGTGCTGGGATGGTGTGATGCATTGTATTGAGGTCCGGACCAGTCTGTTGTGGGAGCCAGTATGAATGTGGGATTTTTAAAAAGACGGCATTGAATAAGACCTTGATCTTTCAATGTCTTAGTATTAATAAATGTATTGTAATTAATTTTTTTTTTATAAATTTGTATTTTCCTTGAAAACTTTCTCCTTTTCATTCATTTTGTGTACTTGAAATATTCCTTTTAGTAAGTTTTAGTTGCTTGTTTAAAGACATTTGACTAATGCCTGACAGCTTCAAAAAGACTGAGTCCACAGATATGCACAAGCATTTATTGTTAGTACCATTCAAAATTGATTAAAAAATATTAAATTTTGTTATTTTAGTTGGCACATCTGCAATAATTTGGGCTTAACATGCATGAAATATACATTCCTATCTTTCAAGATTTGATAGTTTAGCACATCTATAGCAGTATAAAATGCTATAAACATCTAAATCAGTTCTAAAATTAGTAGTATGTGACATTGCAGTATTCCAAAGATACATGAAAGAAAGAAGTCAGCGCTGACCAGCAGAAATTTTAATTTAGTTAAATTTGTTTCCTGTCTATGCCATCTGTATGCTTTTTCACAAATATTTTCATTTCAATTTCAAATAACTGGCATTTTCTTTGCAGAAAAAAGTATTAGTACCTTCACATATTAAAACAGTTCTAGTTCTAGACTAGCATTGCAGAGTTTTCTATGACTGTAGAAATGAACGTGGCTACATTCCACATGGCTGATTTTTTATCAAGTTCAAGTCATGTGTGAGGCAGCGTGTCATGTTTTATCATCGTTATAAATTCCTACTTGAGTTTGCTTGTTATAAAAGCTGCTGTGGGCACAACTAACACTCCATCACTTTAAAAATATATATTTTAAGATTACATTAGTATTTACCTTAATAATAAACACATTAAATTATACTCTTGTTATTGATATGTCATAACTCAAGAGTTGGAATCCATCTGTACAAAGTGTGTGAGTGTACCTTCAGAAACAAGTAACCTTTGTATCGGTAGTTTATAAATTTCAGTAAAAGTTATTATTAAAATATTTCTTTTCAAAAGACTTTACACTGGCCTTACTTCAGCGGTTCCTAAACTTGATGAGGCCAATTGCCACTGTGAGCTATTTAGGGAATCCCCTTTATGTCAATGTGAAGTTTTTTTTCCTACCTTTGTGGAACAAATTAATCAGTTTTTTATAATGTATGCATCAAATTATTATATTATTGTTTTCATTTATATATGCTACCGTACTTTAGAAGATACCCTTATGGGTTTCTTCTGAAATTTATGCTAAAGAAACTGCCACTGATTGTTTAAATCCAGGGATTTTTTTCACCCCCTTAAAATGGTTCTCCTTTTTGGAAACCTTTTACTGATTTGTTATTATTTACGCTTTGGGTTTCTCTTGCTACCATTAATAATGTTTATGAATATGTGTGTGTATAACTAAAAGTTACAGAAAGTCAAGATGACCAAACCCAGAATTTATCATAAATTGATTAGTCAGGGGTATGATTTTGAACCTATATTAGCTTAGAAAATTAGAGCTACTTCTTTAAAATTTAAAAGAAATCACTATGACCTTCTGTTTTACTTGGATGAGCAGTGGCGGACCGTGTGGACTACTCTTCTGTCCCTTCAAACCTATATCTTCATATTTAAATAAGCTTAAAATTAATTTAAAATAGTAGAACATTATAATATATTTTTATAATTTTTTTTGTTCATTTAGTTCATTTAGCCCCATTCCTGTTTTTGGAATACCTGTATATGAAGTTGAAAATCAGTCTTTCAGAGTCAAAATTTTAGCTCACCTTTTCAGGGGATAGCAATGGCAAATAACTGAATACAATATTCGTAGTTGTTTCTCTGAATTGAAACTAAAGACATTAAAATGTCTCTCTAACTTGAACAAGTAGAAATATCCACTTTTCTTTAAAATTGCCAATTTGTTTCAGCAGCTTTTTATATGATTTTTCCTTATCCATCTTATGTATCCTTCAAAATCATATTCAAATAGGATTTACATTCATTAGACCTGTTTAAATGAAAAAAGAAACACTTTTTATAAAATATTTTTTCTTTTAATTACAGTATTTTTAAATATAGACTCCTCCTGGGGTAGAATTTATAAGAAGCATTACTATTTACAAATTACTGGAGTTCTCATTGAAACAGACAGGTGTAATTATTTCCATTGGCATTTTAGCATTGGATTTATGATTATCATGCATTTGGACTTGGTATTTTGTTTTCATTTCATTCATGTGAAATATTAATAATTGAGAAACTATTAAAGTTGATTTAATGCATTTTTAGTTCATTGCCTTTTTAAAAATTATTTTTTAATACTTGAAATTGTTGTAGGTCGTTTGCCCTTTCATTACACTGCGTAGGGGTTAAAAAAAGGGGGTGGGGGGTTTTTGTATGTCTCTTCAGTATGCTCAGGTTTTCGTGAATTAGGTGCGAAAAAATCTATACAGTAGCTACTCCAGTGCTATTTCTTGTATTAACTTTCATACTTCTTTCGTAATATGACTGAACAAGCATATCTTATAACATAACAAGCTCGCTATTCTTATGGCTATGGTACGGTAGTGATCATTTTAAAAGGTGTCTGAAAATGGAACTGGGTCAGTCGGTCACGTGATGTAAACACTCTTATTTTATAAATTTATTCATGCAGTAATGAAGGTGAAAGATGAAAGTGCCATTCGTGTATATTTGAGGTGCCAATCTGGAGACTAAATGACATATAATTTAAGCATGAACCAAATGAGGCAAAAATTTAAAAAAAAAAAAAAAAAGACTTTGCCAAAGTTAGGCTTGACCTGACACTTCCCATCATTCCGTGATAAAATTTTTTAATGCAGTAAAGAAGGTGAAAGATGAAAGTGCCATTCTTGTATATTTGAGGTGCCAATCTGGAGACTAAATGACATATAATTTAAGCATGAACCAAATGAGGCAGAAATTTAAAAAAAAAAAAAAAAGACTTTGCCAAAGTTAGGCTTGACCTGACACTTCCCATCATTCCGTGATAAAAGACATGCGCAGAGGCCTAGTTGATTTTGTAGCAGAGAGGACTTGTTCAAAACAGAAATGGGATTCCGTGTGTTTTTTTTTTTTAACGTTACCTTTCCGACCTGCCTGGCAATTTAATAAAAATACAAGTATAAAAATTCCACACTGATCTATGCACTTATCGAAACCCCAAGAAGTGCCTCATGCAATGTTTAGTGTACAAATGTGTGGGCCCGAAATTCCAAGTCGTAGGTCGCTGTGGTTTGTCAGTATGCAAACAACAGACAGAAGCCTACTGTTTTGGCAATTGTGCACTGAGATTCACAAGAATAGGAATATGCATTTACAATAGTCGGGGGTCGTCTATAAAGTCCACACACTTCCGTTTGAGATAGAGCTGTTACTGTACATTGTTAGAAGGATCACACAAATATTGCCCTGTCCTACACTAATGTATAGTATAGTATATATTATATGCTAATACTACTTAGGTTAGGGTGTATAAAATATAAAACTAACATATTGAATTTATTGATGAAGATGATCTGATTGGTTTTTTGTGTTTCAAAATAAAAAAAATGTCCTATTTGTTGAATAATGCATAAGTAAAATAAGTATAAGCATATTTATTTGGTATTTATAATACTGTTAATTAGGTGTTACTAATCTTTCCAATAATGTTAAGTTGCTCCTAATTAGTAAATAAACAAAATATTTAATAATAATAATAAGACTTAACCTAGAATTAGGCCTGATACTTCTATAACTATAAACTCTAGTATGCACAAGCATGTATTAGGCTAGGCATATCTATATTAACCCTCTTGGGACGTAAGGGCCAATCTATCGGCCCAAGGTTGACAAGCGAGAAAGACATAAGTCTGAGCCATCGGCCCGATAAATAGAGCCTCACGATTGGCTGGCTTGGCGTTGTACAAAGGAATCAAAATTATTCTTGCGTATTCCTGCACATCCCGGCATTGTAATGGCGGCGTTCGTTGATGGTGAACTAGGCACTAGGTTTATTTGTGTGCTGGAATTTGTTTGTGTGTGTGTAGTTACATCGTGAAATTCGAACATGTCTGACAGTGACTCTGATCAAACTGTGCTTAGTGATTTTGATGTTCTAGCAGTGAATTTGACACTGGAACTGATGAAAACAACCAGGAAATTAATGAAGACTTTCAAATTGAGGGTAATTGCTAATGTTGTGAACTCTTGGTTTAGTGTTACTAGTATTAGGGGTCCTCAACTGGACAAAGATGACCCCTCTGAATTTTTAGACAACATAGGTCCCCTATAAATAAGGCATAAGCACACCATTTGAGTACTTTATGCTATTTTTTACACTAAATATCATTCAAATTATGAGAGAGACCAATAGATATGCAGACAACTTTCTCAGTAACATCGAGCTAAAGAGAAGGTCCCTAGTCATAAATGGTGGCCTGTTAGTGTTTAACAACTGAAAAATAGGGTGGGGGGGGGGAAGGAGTAGAATTATGTGCCAGATGTATCTGAAGGGCCTCCATGGACCTTGTTTCCCAAAAACATAAGTTTTAGGACATATTCAGGCTTCATCCATCAAAATATTCACACAATTGATACAAGTAAGTCAAGTTTATTCTAGGTGTAACAAAAAATTACATGCATAAATTATGCAAATCAGGGTAGCTCATTTGGATAAATGTGGATATTTCAGTTTGATTCATAAAGATTGTATTAGTTCATTCAATTTCTTACAAGAATATATATAGTTTTACATATATATAAGGAATAGTTTATTTTTTATAAATTTTTTTGCAATGCGAGTGTCGAGCTCGTAAAAAGTGCTCCGTCTTTTTGGCACATACACCCCGAAACGGCCCCGTCCTAAGAGGGTTAATAATTAATATTCTGATTAGGCCTAATAATTAATATATAAATTATAATAGAATAATAATATTATTTTCTTAACTTTATTTTAGCCTTAAATTTAAAAGAAACAAAAACATTCACAATGACAATTTAAGAGTTTAAATTGCAATTGACATCAAATATCACGGGATAGCTCTTGAGCAAACCTGGTCAATGTTGCAGAACAGCTTTAACTAGCCATCTGTCATTATTGAACAATAATGCAACAGCAAAACAACCCCATTGGAAATGGTTCCTTCAGAAATGGTCCAGTACATGGGCAAGCTCAAGAAGGTTTGTTGTATTTTAATGTAAAAGAAATCATTGTACAATTACAATTCTATACAATTGTTTGATGTCATATCTCTTGATAACCCTTTACTGGCTAATGAACCATTATTTACCATTTAGTCACAAAAATATATCCCTTCTCCCCACTAAATAAATAAGTTACAACACCACTTTTTTGTGTGCATTATTTGCATGATTATTGTCAATATTAAAGAAAAAGAATTTAAAATAATTTTTGACACTCCTGTTTTAATAAGCCCTATCGACATTGCCAATAATATTTATTGAAAGAGCATGTTTTTTATAATTTAAGGATGTTAGTTCCTTCAATTTAAACCCAAAATGATTAAGCCCCAAATATCTAAAATTGTTGAATGTGTTGCCTGAATATGCCTGAAAGTTAATCATTCTCATGATGCTGTATTATCATATTTGTTTTGCATTTCAGGTATAGCCAGAGATGCAATGGGTACTAATGGTGATCAGTATTTCAGCGCAACATTTAATGCCATGGGAATTCAAGACTTTCCTCCATTTGTAAGTTAGTAAAAAAACAATATAATACCAATGTAGTGACAATATTAATATATTATTGTTCGTCCTTCACATTCCAAGATGACCAAAGCGTGAGTGTAGCCTTGACTTGAGCTGTAATTTGTTTAAAGTCAGGTAGAGTTGCTCAATTCGTAAACCTCACTCTCTTGTCCTTGTCCATCTGATCTAATGACAAGACTTAGTAAAGATGACTGAAGATAGACCAGACATAGATGAACAGCAGTGTTATTTTGTGGGCTTTACATTGCTTTTTATGTGTTCCAAATCGTAGTTATCGCAATTTTCATTGTGTCAGTGTCATACAGTACTCCATCTCCGGGTTTGATTTCAGAGGTTGCCATCCAAGATCAATGAGTCCCATCCACCCGGGGTGCTGGTGTTGTTTTTTCTTGTCTAGGTGCTTGCTAAGGATCGAATTTCAGTCCCCAGTTTGGGATAGACTTAGACTGCTCTTCCACCCAACATCCAGTACAAATTAATGTTGCACTAATAAGAAAATCGGGCAATTGGCCATTAATTTATTATTTAATACTATTTCATAATTAATCACAATTACTTCTTGGGTTACGGGGAAGAAGGGTGAAGAATTATCATTGCAATAACTGGGTGAAGAAACAGAACGAAGCACCTCTCTGACTGGGAAATTATACTCCCGATAGTCACCATGAAAAACAGACTCTTATAGGCAAATTATGTTGAACCCTCTGCTGACATAGACAAGCGTATTGCTTGCATCATTAAAAAGTGTCAACACAATAGCTGATGAATTTGATTTAAATTTTCCCCCCCCCCCAAGCAAAATTTCAGGTGGATTGTCGTGAACTACTTTTGTTAGGGTGTTTAGCTACTTAACTTCCATACATTCATCTGCTAAAATATTCTGTTGCCCTCGCAAGAATGACACTTTTTAAAAAGATTAATCTGTATGTTTGTATCTTTTCTTGTTAAAAAGTGTATGATAATTCAAAGTGCAGCATGGTCTCCCAAGCTCATGTGTGAATACATGCAAAATTTACTAGACTAGCAATTTTAGATTATAAAAAAATCGAACAGATCAGGATACATTTTGTTGAAATTAGTGTAGAAAGTATTGATGATTTATAATGAAAGATATATCTGAAACAGACATTTAAACATAAATAATGGTACATCAGTAGAAAATACGATTGTGGCCTTGGTGATAATACCGTATGTTTTCAACTTCAGATATTATAATTCAAAGATTATTCTTTAAAATAACCATAAGTTTTTATTGTGATTATTTACTTTCATTGATTTTTATATTGAATTAAAATTTAAATACAATTTAAATAACAATAACTTTCCATATTTTGTATTGTATATCTTTTCTAAAAAAGCATGTACATTTTAAGATAAAGTTATGTTCCTTTTCATAGTCTCATGAGAGAGTTTACATCAAAAGTAGGTTAGGTAGCACTGGGTTAAAAGCATCACACGGATTTAAATGCTCACACAAATAATGCATTATAATAATAGTGTTTACAATCCAATTCTGTGGTTTGAGAAGAAAAAAAATGAGAACCAAAGGAAGTTAAGAGAACCATGATAATGCTGGCAATGTTAAAGAAAGAAGAAAAAAAAAAACATACATCGAGGGAAAATGTATGACAGCTCTTATAGACTCTTTATACATATTTCATTACTTTTTGGGGGTAAAAATTTGATAATTCCCATTTAAACAATCAGGCAGCTATTTTTTTTATCCTAGCGTGGAGGTCCACCACGTCCAAGAAGCAGTATGGGGGCACCACATCCCATGGCAGGAAAGCAGTATTCTTCAACCTCAGCGATGGACCAAATGCCAGATGACTTTGCAGCATTAAACCTGGCTGTTGGACCTTTGCACAATAAAGTTAGTAATTATCACACAAAAATTGAACAGAGAAACAGACATACAAAAACTCATTAATTATCAGAATGAAAATAATGCAGATGCTCACGGTTATTTTTTTTGCAGAGCTCCGCAATAAAGTACAAGATGTTATTTTTTTTTTAAAATGATAAATTTTCACATCTGTGTTGAATGATCAAATTTATCTATAATCAATGTAACCTTAGGGTGCTGTCAATGATTTTGAGCCCAAGTCACCTGGACTTCCTCACAGTTCCAGCACTTCATCATTTGCATCATATGCATCAATGTTTGGTCAGAATCCATCGGCACCAGCGTGGCCCTTTGTGCCAAGCTCAGTGGCCCCATCAGCACATTCTCCTGGAAGTCACAACCCTGCTGTGTTTAATGCAGGTGTTCAGAATGGCCCCACCACACCTAAGACTTCCAGCATTGTGCCAGCGTTTGGTCCATCACAGCAGAATCCCGTTTCAACACCAAGCAATGCAACCCTGGGACCACCTTTGTTTGGCTCCAGTTCACAAATTCCTGTGGCAACATCAACAAACCCTGTTTCAACCAATGGTGAATAAAATACCCATATGCACATCTTCTTTTAAATAATCACTGGGAGATTAAGACAATTGGGTTGGCAAAGTTTTCGTTTATTATCTAGTAATTTCTAAAATAAATGTTTACTTTTATTGACTATAAAATGTCATTAATAAACATGAATAATCTGGAATGTACTCTTGCCTCTGATTGTCTCAGAATTTGTAGAACACACACCTTACTTAGACCTTAATCAACCTGTTGCCTTTATTGCCAGGTCTCGTTTATACATCTGCAATCAGCCCGATTCACAGTCCTGGCATCTCACCTGCAAGCTCCCCACTTACCACACGGCGGATGCAGTCCCCAGTAACACATTCACTCAGACAGACAACCATTCCACAAAAGTCTGCATCTTCTAGTCTGGTTCAGGTGATTTTATAAAATTTTAATTATACTTGGCTTAATTTATCTATCTTGAATTTTATGTTAATTATTAATTTTGTGCTAATATAAATCAATACTTTCTATCTAGTTTTTTTTTTTCTCCTTTAATACTTTTTATCCACATATCTAGTCAATAAACCTTATTTTTCAAATGTAGCTTTAGCTCAGCCAGCAGAAAATTACAGTAGAACCCGGTTATGTCGATGGCCTCAGGGTTTTCCATAAAGCGGCGAGATAACCGATGATCCAGATAACCGAAAACCAATATGGCGGCAATATATTACCATGTGCTTGAAATTTCTTTATGTACATGATGTGCGTTAATAAATGCAGGTACTTAGGTCAAAAAGAAAAAAAATTTAATATAACAGTTATTTAGAGCAAATTTCAAATTAAAAAAATGAAACCAGAATCAACTTTTTTAACTTTAGTACTTTTTGAGCCACAAATTTTTAAAGTGCAACTTTGGCACATGACTATTTAATTAAAGCTTTCCCTAACCAATGGTTTAATAGCTTTTGCATACAGCAAACTCTTATGAATGAAACTCTGACGTAGTACCACAGCATAGCCATTATGCAAGTGACAGTGAATGGCTGCCCATGTCAACGTTTTGAACACTGCAAATTATGATCATTTATAATATGGACTCTACAGGGTTTTTAAACCTTCGAATTAAAACATATTTATTTAAATTACTTCTAGGTTCATTCTGAAACACAAGTCCTGTATTTTGAGAAATAAATAATTTTTAATTATGAAAAACTTGTTTATTTGTTGTTTGCTATTTCCTTTTCCGGAGTGTAAAAGCCGGCGAGTGAGATAACCGAGGTTAACCTCGGCAAATTTGGCCGCCTTTTGTGCTCAAGATATCAGTATTCTGCGACTTAAAAGAATTGACATAACCGAGGAGAAAATGCTAAGACAAAGAGAGAATTTGGTAGTTCCACTTCAATAACGTCGACATAACCCTGTTGGCAAGTTAACCGAGGTCGAGATAAGCCAGTTCGAGATAAGCGAGTTCGACTGTAGATCCAAAAAATGTAGTTACCAAGTGTTTAAGGATCTAATGTTCATTACACCATGATGTATCATGTATGCGTTAACCTTGATTTTTCAGGAGAGTGTTGGAGGCACCACATATTTTTATCACCCAGATGATTTTAAACCACAAATTGAAGGCCCACAATTAGTGAGTAAAATAATTTATTCTTTTTTTATAGTTGATCATTTAGAATTGTTTTGATAACATAGTTATGGGATTAATATAAAACAAAAGAGTTATTATAGTGAGCGTATTCAAAATTAAATAATTGAAACTATGATAAAAACTAGAAATGTTAAACGATAATAAGGTATCAGATAAAGTTGGAGTTACCTGCTCAGATGCCTATCCGATAAATTGTATATAGTCTTCATTAATCGGTTATAAAAGTTTTTTATATTCTATGATGGCCAATAAGACTAATACATAATAAAGAGTGATACATGATAATGATGTCGATTATAAAGATCAAGGATACATGATAATGATGTCGATTATTAAGATCAAGTATTTTATGCTGAAGAAACTGTTCATCCTTCTTGTTTGTTAGTTATTAAAAAGGTCTTTTAAAACTAATATATTTTAATGAAAATTTTTTGAAATGTTTCATAATCATCCTGCACTTTTGCAATGTTTATCAAATATAAGTGAAAGAATTGATGCCCAAGAAAATTACATAAGCTTATTCTTCTGTGAATAATTTCAGACTTTGCCATCCTTTTGTGCCTATCCTGGAATGCCCTCTCATATTGTGCATCTAAAGATGAAAACAAATGTGCCACAGTATTTTGCACCAGATGAACTCAAAATGGTATATTTTAAGATAGTGACATCATTGAACATTTTGAGTCATAGAGACTCTGTTACTATGAAATCCTGTAAGCAAAATGTGAACCTGCCTACTTTACCACTGAATTAAAAGTAAAAACAATAATTTTGAACCATAATATTTTTAGAAACATAGTTAAGATTATTTTGCTTAACCTTTAAAGCATGAGCAACAGGAGATATTACAAAGATATGTGATTTTAAAATAAAGAGTAAGTATAAAATATATGGAAAATTTATTGTCATTTAAAGTACCGGTATAAAATAATTTAATCTTACAGAACAAGTGTGTTTTTTAAAAATGTTCACATTTCATTTGTTTCCCTTTTCCAGGACATCCTCAATCGTCATGTGTTAACAATGATGCAAGTGGAACCCACCTCACCCAATGCAGGTACATTTTGTCAGAGGTGTAGCTTAACAGAAAGAAGTCATACTGGGTGCGCACTTTTGAAGCTTTTGCTCCTAAATTGTGCAAAAGTTTGCCTCAGTCTTTGAGAGACAATTAAAATGATAAAAAGTCATTTAAGAACCATTTAAAAGACTTTTTTTCTTTAAATAGATTTTAGGACATCACAGCGCTGTGAGCATGCTAAAATAGCATGGACACAAGCGCTATAAAAGTACTCAATCATCCTCATCATCATAGGTATTTGCTATTTCAAATTTGAATATTTTTAATTTAAATTATATTTGACCTATCATAAGATGAATGTTCAGAGAGGTTGGGTGATTATTTGTAAACATTCACCTTCACAGTCTATGTTCCATTCAGTCCTTTTCTTGATTAGCTATGAACTGGGCTCCCTGCTTCTCTGCCGCTAATCTCCCCTTAAATATATTGAGACATTGGCATATTAGTATGTTTCATATCAACCTAAACTCGTCTCCCATTAGTTGAGCTACCCACAGAAGTGGACAAGTATCATAATCTGTGTCCATTAGAAAGGACTGGAGCACCAAAACCTTCTCTGGGGAACCTACCTTCAACCACTTATAAAGCTGTGTGCACCAAAGATGGCTTGTATTATTGCCTTAGGAGAATTCATGGTAAGTGTTCAAAGAAAATTATTTCAACCCCAAATTTTATTCTATAGCAGATGATAAAAAATTTGTTTTATAAAAAAAAAGCTAATAAAAGAATACATTTTCATTTTGTTATTGAACTTTGTACAACAGATGACGAAATGATATTATTATCAGTAGATTGGCCATGACAGGGAAAGTTTCATGAAAACCCAAAAGGCTATAATTTACTTTAAAAAGAAAATACTCTCACTGACTTTTTAAAATTATATTTAGAATTTTATCAGTTTATTTAACTTTTAAGTGAAGTAATTTCTACATATAGGTTTTCGACTGGCAAGCACTAAAGTCAACTCTATAATGGAGAGTTGGAAGAAACTTTATCACCCAAATGTTGTCTCGCTCAAAGAAGTCTTCACAACCAAAAATTTTAATGATAATTGTGAGTTCAACATTAAATAATTATGAAATTAAAAAATTAATTCAAGACATTTAGGACCGGATTTTCAAATGAGGAAAGTTTGTGTGTCAAATACAGTGTACCATCAATTACAACATAAAAAAAAATGCTTGTATTGTGTGCCGCATTAAGCTAACATTTTTAGTATTACCAATTTATTAAAATTTAAATCACTGAAACTTTTTAGTGTGTCTGACTGGTGGAGTTTGATCCACTGCAGCAGCAGGGACCAATTTTATTAATTAATTTCACCTTTTTGGTTTTCACAACTTTTTCATATTTTGCAGCCTAATTGCAGTGGGCTCTCAGACCTATGCATATCACTGGACCCTGTATGTGAGAATTCTGAGCATGAATTAACAATAAAATAATGAAACATATTTGTTGTCATTTTTTTTTTTGATCTGCAGTTTTATGTAAAATTTGTATAAAGCATTTCACTTATAATAAAAAATCAGAGTTTCTCTTTCCATTGGCAGCCATTGTGTTTGTCTATGATTACCACCCAGGAGCTGAGACTTTGATGTCCCAGCATTTCTCCTCTCACCCTCACATCAATGGCTTCAATCACCACCACCACCACCATCATCATTTCTCAAGGGATCATGGAAAAAGTAAGCTACATAGTAGTCACATTAATTGGTCTAATCTGCCTTTACAACTCACTTTATTTCACACCACAAAAGGTTGGTCTGCATTTGAAATAAAATGTGACTAGTCACAGTGAAATAAAATGTGATTAGTCTCAGTAAGATAAAATCTGAATAGTTACAGGCAATCTTGCAATTTTAAATAAAAGAATATGGTGCTCCACCGCAAATTTATTTTCTAAGCATATTATTAATTCAAAATTCTATCAACTTTGTCCATCAGTTTGATTACACCAGATAGGCACAGTAGGTGCGTTTGCCGTTAGCTATGAAAGCATTCAACTAAATATGATATAGATAACCAGGTTTTCAAAGGGGAAATTACCTATATGAAGATCCAACTAATTATGATATGGGCAAGAACTAATAACTTGATTCCCCATTATTTTGTTGTATTTTAAATACATTCAAGTGATGAGCTTTTCTTATTTATCTGGTTGGCACCATAAAAAATATCATCTCATGTGTCTATTTAAAAAAATATAATTATCCTGGACATTATGATGTTATACATGCAAAGTTGTAACATGTTTTAAAATGATTTTAAGTTTTTAATTATTTTCTTATAAACACTGTATTCACTAATGTGTGCAATGTATATAAATAAATTATGGCCCAGTTTAAAGAATTAAAAAGAAAAGTAACTTTAGAATGCCCATTAACACTGCAATCATAGCTTATCTTAAAACTACCTTTATAATGCTCATCTACTCCAAAATTGAATGTTTCTTTGCTTTTAACTATGTTTGTATTAAATAAGGGTCTGTTACTCTATGTGTATTATATTCTTTCATTTGCTGCTCAAGCTGTATGATTTCTTACATGAACCTAAGTACTTGAATTCAGCCACTCAATTTGTTTGTTATTACTTTTAAATCTCAATAGGTTTTATTTTGTCACCAGACAGCAGCAATGCTCGCAACATGAATAACAACTTATTACCTGAGAGTCTGATTTGGACCTACATAGTACAGTTGAGTTCAGCCTTAAGAGCCATCCATGCTGCAAATCTGGCAGCTAGGTCGTTGGATCCCTCAAGAATAATTGTATCAGGAAAGGCGAGGTGAGAGATTATATTAATACATTTACATTTCTGTTTCATTTTTTAAATTTTAACCGTTTTTATAGATTTATTATTATAACTGCTATAGATACCTGGGAAGCATCTCTGCCAAAGAGAAAAAAAAAGACAAAGAAATAGAGATGAGTGCAGAGGGCTAATGCAGTCACCTACCAAATAGCCCTTCTATTAAGACACCCAGAATGAACACTGAGAAAAAACCAGGCTTATTAACCATGTCTTTATTTCAACTCTTACCAGTGTCAATCCTGGTCTATAAATAAAACTCTTTTTCATCTGTCAGTTAAAATTTTTGAGAAGAGCAGCTTGTAAATAGAGAAGGGACCACATTAGGAACCAGGACATAACACAAAGGCTTATGCCATACAAATCAGCCAGTAAATGACCATCAGCGAATTAATTGGTTTGGCGATCAGTTCAGAATGCCTATCAATCAGTCTGCATTGCAAGGCTTCAATAGCAGGCATTCTGGGCCAGAGGAAGAGCACACAGTTGTGGATAGACTGTATTAAGGATACCCTCAAAATCCAGAACATGCATCTTCATCAGGCAATATTCCTTGTGGCAGATCACCAACTGGAGAAGAAGATAGATGTGAAAAAATATAATTTATCCACGTTTCCTGTATGATTTCACACTCAACATAACCATTTTAATTCCCCCAATGCTTACAGAATACGTATCAACTGTATTGGCATTCTGGATATCATTACCCCTGAAGGAAGCACCCCACCTAATATCAATGCTTATAAGGTAAAATGGAATATTTTACCACACAAATGTCATGCTTTCAAAAAAATTAATTTTAAGATAAAGAAAATTAATAATTAAGTAACACAAATTCTTTTTCCAGTAATAATTTATAATAAATATCCTGAATGTGTTTTTTTTTAATACATTTATTAATTTTATTTGTTGTGATGCTCAAGTTTATTAGAATATTGTTTGAATGTGCACCACATTTGCCGGACATGAATGCTTTTTAGAGGTGTTTATGTGATAAGTGTAAATGTGCAGGGCCATCAGTTAAGTAAGTTTATTGGTATTGTGTTGGGATGGCCTAGCCTCATCTAGTCATAAAAATATATAGGAAAATATAGCACTGTCAGTTATTAAGTATTTTGTTAAAAATAGGTATGTTTCCTTGAAAGATGATGAGCATAATAATAATGCTCACCAATTCTAGATATTCAGCAACAGATATTTACAAAAATTGTTTTCCATTCAAACACAGCAAGATGATATGACAGCCATGGGCAAGATAATTTTAGCTTTGGCCTGTAACAATATCATGTGTGTTCAGAGGGACAACATACAGTCAGCCATAGACGTAGTGCAGCGAAATTACTCTCCTGATTTAAAAAACCTCATATGGTGAGTCCTTGCTTACAAATTTGGCTAATTTCACCAATGAGGTGTAAGGGACGTCCTGAACAAATTTAGTCACGTCTTGAACAAATTTATTCACGTCCTGAACAAATTTAGTGACTCCTGAACAAATTTAGTCACGTCTTGAACAAATTTATTCACGTCCTGGACAAATTTAGTGACTCCTGAACAAATTTAGTCACGTCTTGAACAAATTTATTCACGTCCTGGACAAATTTAGTCATTTGAAAATTGAGCAATGATATAAGTTTTTAAAAATAGTTGCAGACTTTTTTAAAACTTTTGACCACTGTACATTGAGCAAAAGTTTAAGAGATTTTTCCACACAGTTGAGCATGGTTACTTTGAATGTTTTTTAGAAAATTACTGAGGCAAAGTCTTTAGTTCCATTATCAGCTTTATGTATTGGCTATTACAGTATTATTTAACTAATGACACAAATTTAAAAGTTCCATGTGGTCTCATTTTAATAGAAGTTGATAATTACACTCAATGACCTTTTCCTCAGCTATCTGTTGCAAAACACAAACCGTGTACGTAGTGTGAATGATGTGATGCCTATGATTGGTGCTCGTTTTTTCACACAGCTGGACACAGCTACGTTACGCAGTGATGTTTTGGATTATGAATTAGCTAAAGTAAGTGCTATTCAGTAAAGAAACAGGCAGTTGTTTATGGTTAGTGCTTGGGATAGATTCTGAGCTAGAATTTGAGTGATTAATGACTTAAATGATGGTGAGCTGTAATTGTATATGGGAGGTCTGGGAAGTTTAAAATAATTTCAGCATGCATCAAATGTCATGTCAGTATTAAATAGAAGCTTTATTGTCATTGGTAAACACATACCACATTATACATCATCAGATCTACAATTTTGATATCAGTTACGATTAATAAAGCTTACAGCATTAGTTGTGCATGTGATTTATTATTTTATCTAATAGCTTTCTGGTGCTCAATTCAGTTTACTTATTTAAAAGGAAAAGATTTTATCCTGGTTCTATAAATTAAATACATTAGCTTAGCAAAAACAACATTACAATTTTTTTTAAATGTTAATTTTCATACATGGTTTTTCAATATATAGTTTTGTCAACATCATTGCTTTACATTTACTCTTAAAGAGGGAAGATTTTCTTTAGTAAAATAACAACCTACCTTTGATTGTTAATTGTATGTTGGCGGATTTTAGCACTTCTAGTTGTAAAACGAATTTGCTAATCATACTTTTTTTTATTGGGTTGAATAATGTTGAGTTTTGAATTGTTATCAGGAAATAGAAAATGGTAGACTGTTTCGCATATTGATCAAGTTGGGGTCCATTAATGAAAGACCAGAGTAAGTACACGTTTTCCCATTTTAACAACAGGTATTCAAATCCTATCAATTGTTTTTACTTAAAATGTGTTTGTCCTTTATATAACATTTATTGATGACAAATAATGATTAACTGCTCTTCCACAGCAGCTAAACTTAAAGTTTTGTGCTGAAATCCTTTGAACAAAGTATTTGATAACTTAATGGCATCTGTTCTATTTCTCTAAAATTACTCACCTAGGTACACGACAGAGCCCTCATGGGCTGAAACAGGAGATAGGTTCATGCTGAAACTCTACAGGGACTACCTGTTTCATCAGGTAGATGAGGCAGGGCTACCTTGGATAGATATGGCCCATGTTATTCAAAGTTTGAACAAGGTAAGAACCTTAGTGATGGGGAACATAGCAAAACAAGGGATGCATAGAGGCAGTTTTATCAAAGCAGTAATTTAGCTAGTTAGATAATGTGTTGCTCAAATGCTTTTAAAATGACTTGAGAAGATACTTCAAATATTTACATTAGTTAATGTAATCACCAAGATAATGAGGGGCTAATGGTAATTACACCTTGTTGAGTCAGTCATTTGTAATAGTCCTCTTCTGATTACCAAATCTAAACAATCAGTAATTAAGTCATTATTGTCAATAAAGAAATTAATTGAAAGCTGATATCCATGCTGGAGAAATACTCTAGATGTCTTGTGTTTAAATTGTTATAATTGTAAAATGTTGTCTTGGTTAACATATGTATTTATTTATGTGCTGAAAATAAATAAATACAATGTAATAAATAAAAAAACATTTTCCATTTATTATCAATAAAGGAATCTTATCTTATTAATTAATTTGTAACATTTGCAAAGCGATATTTGTTAATACCTTTGAACACAATTCTTATTTCAGTTTGATGCAGGTATTCCAGAAAGAGTCCTGTTGGTGTCCCGAGATGAAAATAGTATGTTGGTAGTTTCCTACTCTGAGTTAAAGAGATGCTTTCAGTCTTGTTTTCAAGAACTTGTGGCCCAACACAATCAGGGAACAACATCATTTTCGTAGCCTGATAAGCAAGTGTTGAGTATTTTTTTCCTTTTTCAAAGAAGAATAAGTTAAGATTGACACTCCAGTGTTTGGTTGGATTTTCAAAAAGGAAAAAGCCTTGTTAATGTAAATATTTGCTTAAGATCCATAATGTAATAATCAAATTCTTGCACTGCAAAATTTGTTTAATTTATCTTCTTTCTTATAGTTGGTTGGATGATTAATGAAGTATACCTGCATTAAAATTAATTTACTGATAAGCCATTACAAAATAAGTGTTTAAAAATTGATTCCAAACAATCTTATCAGAGTACTTCAATAGGTTCAATATTAATTTAGCTGAACCATTGTTAGTTAAAAGGTTTAAACAATGCCTTTGTAAAAAAATATAAAAAAATATGTAAAACAAAATTATATCTGATTACAGTAGAAGAGAAAGGTGTGGCTAAAATCTTTCTTCAAATTGTTCTCAATTTCAGGTCAACCATTAGTCAGATTTTTAAGACGGCAATTTTTATTTCTTATGATCATGGGCTGCTGGGGCTCTGTATTTATTAGCAAGTTGTTATTGTAAATTTTGAGGGGTTTTTGTTTTTAAGTATAGATCATTTGTTAAAATAGTTAACGATGACTTGAAATAATCAAATTCTCCACAGACTCTTCTTACCCATGTTTTATTTCGACTACACTGTAAGTGGAAGACGCAGAGGCAAAAAAATTTCTTGAAAACACTATAATTTTTAACTCTGTAAATACATGTATGTCAACTGGCCACAGCAAGGCAAATTTTATCAGTGATATGAGCCCAAATTTGTTCATTTATCTTAAATCATTTAATTTTTTTATTTTTGTTTCCATTCTTTTTCTTACTGGAATGTTTTTTAAATACAGGGCAATTTGTACAAACAAACAAATAATCACATTTCTAACAAATGTGTATGATATATTGTTATATAATTTATTTATAAAGACACACCTTTTTTATATGCTTTATTCATGACAAAACATAACATTGGCCATTTTTTTTTAGTGTGTACTTGATTTTTAATCTGGATTAGAGTCAAATAATGTTTTAATTTTATGTATGACGTGTTATTTTTGTTCTTAAGCATTTCAGTTGACATGGTTTGACAAAATTATACGCTGATTGCTGCTAAAATATTGCATATAATTTTTCTCAGTTATAGGTCTTTGCGATTAATAAAATTGCTCTCTGTAAGAGAGGTATCCTATCGGGCACTATAATTTGCTCTAGGGCATGGATGTAAGTTTCAAAAGCAATTTTATTAATAATATTTAAAATTTAGTATTTGTTTCATTGATTGAAAGTCTTAAATTTTAAATGGTAATTGCTTAGACTAGTGAAATGTCATCAAGATGCAACTGCTGTCAGTTCTGAGAATTCAGGTTAAAACGTGGGACTTCCAATACTATAGTATGTATGTCTAAAATATTTTTAGTGTTTTTAAGGACAGTGTCAGCATAAGATAATCAATTGATTTGTATTTTTTTTCTTGGCAACCATTTTTTAAATTGCTCATTGTATCACTTGTCAGCTTGAAATTCAATGTTGTCATCATGATTTCTCATCATCCTATCCAAGTGATTTAGCTAAAGGCTGTAAAAATTTTAAAAAGTTCATTGAAAGCTGTTCTACAAAATGTAAAAAATGTTTATTTAGGACTAGTAGTGTTATGATCCTATCATCAATACCTTACACGTGTTGTAAACCCTAACCAACTGAATTGGTGGATTTTTCTAAATAGGCTTATCTTATCTTATGTGGGGTCGTAGCAAATTACGTCACGCAAAAAATTACCTTTTCAGACCTCCACTCCCACCTGTCTCAATTTCTTTAACACCCCCCCCCCCACACCCTTTAGTGTCACGTCACACCTTAAAAAAATTCAAAACATACATAAAATTTTCATAACTCAACTAAGATTTTATTTCATTCTTTAACATTTTCCCATAATGGATGAAGATGTAGTGTTTTTAGAAAAATGTGATGTAAAACGCAAAACAACGAATTCCTCCCCCGAGCCAAATGTAAAATGGCCACAACAGTTTTTGCATCATTTTTCAATATGGGCAGAAGGTGTTTCCACTGAGTTTCATGCTATTTATAATAACTGAGACCTCAAATTAATGTTTTTAAATTAATTGAATAAAGATTTTTTAGCATTAGAAAATTTTAGATTTCAAAAAAAAATTTGTGACATCACAAATTTTGATCCTCCCCCTGTCACAAATTCTCAACCAACCACCCCCCCCCCCCCCCCNTTAATTGAATAAAGATTTTTTAGCATTAGAAAATTTTAGATTTCAAAAAAAAATTTTGGACATCACAAATTTTGACCCCCCCCCTGTCCCAAATTCCCAACCCCCCCCCCCCCCCCCCAGCGTGACGTAATTTGCGAACGACTCCCTATGTCATAGTTTGTGAGGACACTGTTTTAATGCAATCATTGACCAATGACACTGTTGTTTTATTGTCTCAGCTTCTGTTAAATTTGATGGGGCATGTTGTTACATTCAGGTATCTTATGTGATCATTGGCTTGCTAGTGGACAGCTTGTGTGGGCAAAGGGAGGTAGGGGGGATATGGGACCTGAAATTGGACACAATATCCGATTTTGGTCACAATAACATTCAAATACTTGAGATTAAAGGATTAATAAAATGACAAGTGGAATTTTTTTTTAAAAAGACTGATTTTAAAAATTTAATAACTGATGGTATAATTGAGATCATCTGAATTTTTCATCCTGAATTGTTTATTAATTGTCTTAAATTCTTATTCCATGTAAATATCAATATATGTGTGGGTTTTAATAATCAAACTTAATCAGTCAGATGCATACTGTAATGTAGCTTTTGTGCTCTTACTTACGAGATCTCCACTTGTATTAATTATTCCACACTTTTATTTCTGATTGAAGATCTTGGTTGCGAAGATGTTGATTCTTTATTAGTTTACATTAAAAGGCTTTTGATGTTTTGATTTCTTGATGGTCACACTGGGTTTTTAGAATTGAATAATTCAGGGCCATTTTTATTTGTAAAATGACCAATGACCGCTCTGGCCTAGTGGTTGGCTCCCATTCTAAGTTCCTAGAGAGAGATCAAGGTTTTCACACATCAAAACAAAATGAAACTAAAGCAAATGTTAGTTGTTTTTTTTAAAATGGTATAATTACTGTATGTTGAACTCCTGGTCTTTGAATACTGATTGTGGATCACTATTTACATTATATGCCATGTGGCCAAGTTTCACAAGAGCTCAAAGTTTCCTTAAACCCTGCTGCCCATTTCATTTATATTTTAGCATGTTCACAAACCTTTTTTTACTGTTGCAAACCTATGTTGGCCTCAATTTAAGAAAGATAGTTCTTTATTTTCCTTCATTGTATTTCTTCAACTATCTTTGTGGTGAAAGGGTGTCTTAAAGCATGATAAGAAACAGACTTATTTTATTATTATTATGGATTATTTTCTATTTTATGTGCAAAGCTTCAATCCCATAACAAATGTGCTTTTCTTGCTTCTAGTTATAGGTGGTTTATTTATATATTTGTGTAAACTGTTGCAGCAGCTGCTCTGTTTGAATATATTTTATAATGCACAATAACATTCACTTTTATATATGGTGGTGTTTGAGGAACAGGAAAGGTTTTTTATCTGAATAGATGACAGGCAGGTTTGTAAGCGGGAGATTTTTTAGAGATTTATGACTGGAATGATTGCTGGCTTATCTTTAAGATTGTGCTGGAAGTACCAGGAAAATTGTTGAACTATTTTCTAAATGGTCATTTTAACATCACCAAATCTGTGCTCAGAGGGTAAGTTTACAATTTTACTGAAGCAAGGGAATATGTTACACTGCTCAGATTTAAATTGACTCTTGTTTTGGCATTTTGACTATACAAGTTACCAAACAATAAAACCATATTTTCTTGTCAGATCATCTTACTTTGGGAAGCGCACCTTATATATAAAAAGTGTTCAAAGACTGTGTGACATAACACACTAGTTTCATTCTGTGAGATGTTTGGGTTATTTCTATAGTGGTAAGAACATGTTGGAATGATGTTTAGCTTTCTGGCATTTAGTTGTCTGTGGAGCCAGCTTTCATCTCATAGTACAGATAAGACACTGCTCCAGTTTGGACCCTGTTAGTCCTCGAATGTAAATGTTTGTATATACTGTTAATACAAATTTTACATTTTATATGAATATTTGTATAGTTGGCTGATCTTAACTAATAAGTCATCATTAAATAATAATCTGTTGACCCATTTAAAAAAAAATCATTTATGTGCAGCCGGGGGAGGGGGGGGGCTATAAAATTGTATGGCATGTTATTATAATTATATATAACTATCATTACAAGGCGGTAAATAAATAAGAAAATTCAATTTTAAAAACTGAAATTATTTTTATCATAGCAATGTGCGTTGACAGGCAGTTGTTGCAGATGAAGTAGATTAGGGTGGTTTACTATTAAATGATGAAAAATATATTGTAAAGAAATGGAAGACATAAGCTTTCCAAGCTCATTGACATATCCAAGCGTTCAGAATGCTCGCACAGATGCTTATTAGTAAAGATTTCTGCCCCCAAACCACTTCATAATTAAATAGATCTGTATTTTAGGTAGCATATGGGAAAACATATGCATTTATGTAAAGACCGATGTAAGAATTACACAATTTCCTAATAACGTGTCTACAGAATTATATGCATTGTGCACTTTGGTTGGTATCCTACATTTCAATGGTTTTAAACAAGATTAGCCGAGAAAGTTCCTTTTTGAGCTTGGCTAAACTGTCTATGAAATTTTAGCTTATTATCTGTTGAGTGTAAATAAGAAATTTGACATATCGGGTAATCTTAAAGACAAAGAAACAGTGCAAGGGTCTTTTTGTCTCTTATTTTTAAAAAGCCTCACCTGCATGCATTACACTTCATGTATCATTTGTATATTGAAGAAAATAATCTTAGTTTTTTTAAATTATTTTTATTATTAATAAAGACTGAATTGTACTTATATACAAAATATTGAACATGATTCTCATTCTACCATGGCTAGTTCATTTTTAAAGAAATATTTTTACAACAGATGTTTGACTGTGTTCTTGTCAGCATTGGATTTGCCATTATCATTATCTAAAAAGCCTATTCCATGTACTAACTAAATTGATTGTTTTGTGACTGTGTTGTGTGTTTCAAGGTCAAGTGAATATAACTATGATAATAACATTGTGTTCAGCATTCACAATGTAAATCTGTGATTGATGGTAGTGAAAGCCTTAAAGAGAAATGAAATATTAAGTATGTGACTTATACAAGCCTTGTCCAATTGAGATAATAGTTTTATTGTAAAATTTCATATAACTCAAATCATGTAGTACTTAAGTGATTTTTGTAATGAAGAGTTCACTGTAGTTTCTTTGGTTTATAATTTATAGAAAATGTCAACATTGGAAAGATTCGTCAGTTTAGAAAGATACAGACCCAAGAATTAACTTTTGAATTTTCAGAAATTTTAGAAGATGTTTATAATAATAAATATTATTATACAGATTATTAATCTTTAAAAAAAAAAAAAAAAATTTTTATCATTTAATGATATATTTAATCTGACACCACCAATTATCCAAACAAATTAGTGAGAGAAGTTTCAAAGTTTAAATTATAAGTTTATTTTTCAACATTAAACAAAATAGTTCTTTGCTCTCATTTTATAAATTAAAGTCTTTAAATTGGTGTTATCCCGAACATTCAGTCTGATATGTTTTCAAACTTTTTTTTTGTCAACTTAACAAATGCATTGTTTGTAAGTTGGCTAAAATTTAAAGCTTCATAGAAATCAGTTGTTGCAAACCAATCAGATGAATACTTAGAACTTCAAAAAGTCACTATTTTTTGAGAAGTTAGACCTTTTAGATCGGATTTTTCTATTTGTTACATGGGAAAAATATTGGACTATGTAATATTAGGACAGAGTAATCCCAGACAGCACACATGACATAAACAAAAACCAGGACAAAATGCATTGTTATACCACAGAAATGATACCTATTTTTATTTAATAATAATTGTATTACTTCATACATCAATTGATCTGCTGTCGTCTTAGCAAGGCTGCACATCTTTAAAGAAGTTTTTTTATTGTTGACGATGAATCATGAAATAGCTACTGTGTAGCCGTTTATGTTCATGAGGTCTGGATTGTTTATATTTCTTTCTGGAAGTGGTGCTTACTTTGGTTTTTATGGTTGGAAGTGATGTGCAACTTTTGTGGTTTGATGTAGATTTTTTTTCCTTTCTATTATTGTGTGGGCATGAGTTGTTACCTGGATGAATTCTCTTGTATTGAAGTGTTCCAGTGTGTTTGAGTTTTGTGTAGGCTGGGTGGGGAGGTGAAAGCTTGATTTCAAGTGGTTACATTATTATTACCACCTGTACATTGAAATATAATCTGATGTTAAGAAAATATGAGAGTCCCTGTAACACAAGATACATATATTATTATTAAGGAACAGATCTTACTTTTCAAATAAATTCTTTTGGAAAGAATAGATTTTTTTAGTCAAAAGTAATTTCAAATTTCTAATTTTCAAAATATATGGCTGTGTTAAAAGTTATTTTCAAGGAAATCTGAATTTGTTAAAATGCCATATACACTGATATTGAGCTTTATCTGAATGCAAGGTGAACAAGTTTCATAAGTTTCTCTCATCGGCCAATGTTTATGATATCCATTTTGATGCCTACTGTTTCTCCGGTCCCTGGGCAGCTCTGTACATTACTTACTGTTGGTTTGGTCAAAGAGTTATAGTGCCTATAATAATGCCACTGTTATTTGACATGACAAGATGCACTATAGATTGCAAGTAATCTGGAGCTGTTGTGACTGGACTTAGCCAGAATAATGTAGTATGTCAATACCTACTCATGTAATTCAAAACTTAAAAACAAGACATTTGTATAGGAAACACAAATAGGATTATTCATCACCACAGTTATGGATCTCCCCTCAAGTGTTAATCGTGTGGTAATCATTTGTTGTAGTTCATTTCTTATCTATTTGAACTTAGGCTACATAATATAGAATAGTAAAAAGCTACATAATATAGAATAGTAAATGGAAGAGTTAAAAATTCTAAAGCAATATTTGGTATGGAAATGTAAAGCTGTCTACTCTGTTTTTATTGTTACTAAGTAAAATTCATGTTTGATCGGTTTGTATGGTTAAAACTGTACCATGCAGGTCAATTGGCCATTAAAAAAAAAGGATCTAATGCAAAATGCTTTGTCTATATAATAGTTTCTTTAACTGTCGGTTTAATCTTTAGGTCACGTGAGAAAACAATCTTTTAGATAAACATCATTTAAATTTGGATCTAGTTTTATTTTCCTGTTGCCTCCCTAAGGTCTAGAAAATTTGATTTCTAAAATATTTTCTATTTCCAACTGGATATAAACTGACAAAACCTAAAACATTATTGGCGCATGAAATGAGCTGGTTAGAAGGATTTAAAACAAACATTCAATTTGGTAAGAATGTTTCTTTATCTGAATTTAAAATAAAAAATCTCTATGAGGTAGGAAGTTTCAATTTTCATGCTAAATTGTTGTTTCAGGGCTCCGATATGTGAGGTAAATAAATGTTGAATAATCTCTCTCCCCCTCTTCATCTACATATTATTCAATGTTATCTATTTTAATGATGCCAACAGCTCTTGTCTTGTTACTTGACATATTTTACCTGTTGTTGTAAATAATGGAATTCTTATGAACCTGACACTATTTTTTATGAGGAAATAAAAAATGTGAAATAATTGAATGTAGTTTTTTTTCCTTTTCCCTCATGATTTTATCTGTTTACTGTTAATCATCTCAGAAAACCAGCATATAACTGCACATAAGTTTTCAATAACAGCACAATAGTCTAGAGCAGACTAACCAACCAAAATAATTCAACAAACTTGTAACAAAAAAGAACAAACTATCGTTAAACTATTAAAAGTCAAATGATAATTTTTTAATAAAAATTTTGTTATAAAATTAGTTAAAAGATTAAATATTTTAAAACTTATTACGATGAAAAATTCAATTAACGTTTAAAAGAAGAAGGTTCTTGATACTTAAATATCTTTATTTAATTTCACATCAAGCACATGCAAAAGCCATCATTGTCAACTATTTAAGAAAAAACAATTTAAAAAACCATCACTTTTTTTGCAGGACTGGTACATTCCTAGTACCAACAAGTAAGTTATTTTTTGGTGTGCAGCTCAGGGGATGTAATGCACACAATGTGACATTGTAATTCATTTCTTTAGCGTATTCAGCCCTGTCTGTGTCCACCAGATTCATGCACTGATGACCTGAAGAAATACACACACAAAAATTATAGATTTATGAACATAACTCCTGCATAATTTGGGGAAAAAAATTTGGTGCTCCTTTACCACTTAAAAAGTTTTTAAAATAATCATGTCAAAATTTTAAACACTACCAATTATTCAGTATAGCCCGGTTTTGACAATGGCCTAGGGATTAGCCAACAAGCGTCGAGATTACCGATTATCGAGATAAACAAGAACCAGTATGACGGCAATATATTGAAATTTCTTTATGTACATGATGTGCATTAATAAATGAGAATGAGTCTAATACACTAAATAAAGCCTACCTTTTAGGCTATGCCTCATTCAATAATAATTAATAGGATAGAGGGCCTAATATGTTTTAAGCCTACACTAGGTCTAGGTTACTTTATATTAGATTTAGACTGACTAATTAGACTATCCTGTATATGATTAGCATATTAATATTATAAATACTTTATTTGTGAAGCACTCATTTTAGTCTTCGTTTTAGGACAGCTTGCTTAGGCCCCAACTTAATAGACCTACTTTCTATTAACGAATGTTATAAAAATGTAAGTTATATTTTTTTAAAATAGGTCTATAATATTAGGTACTTCACTAAGCGGTGCGCACCGATAGATTTTTTGGATGCGGGAAACAGACCATAAACCCGTGACCGGTCAATGCAGTAGGTCACGGGGTCATATGGAGATCTAGTTTCCTTTGTCTATGTAAGGGAGTAACAATGAAGTTATTATAGTCTGTTTTGTGCACACAAGGAGGACGATCATTACAACATAAACTTAGGGATTCTTTCACTCATGTATTTTGAGAAATAAATAATTTTTTTTAACTATGCAAAACTTGTTTATTTGTTGTTTGGTATTTCTTCTTGCGGAGTTCATAAGCCGATGATCGGTCAGGGGATCGAGATAACCGACGTAAAGGGGCAAAGTTGGCCACCTTTTGTGCTTAAGATATCAGGGTTCAGCAACATAAAAGAATCAACATAACCGAGGAGAAAATGCTAAGACAAAGAGAGAATTTGGCTGCCCCACTTCAAAAATATCGACATAACAGGGTTGGTGAGCTAACCGAGGTTGAGATAAGCGGATTCGACTGTAATGCATAAGCACAAATCCCATAACCTGGGTATGAAGTTACACATTTTTCACATACAATTTTTTTTATTCAGCCTAGATCATAGACAAGAGAACTTGTCACTCCTCCAGCCCAGAAATAGGTTGAATTTTACACCCAAAAATACAATGCATCTTGGTAATGTGATAAACTGATAGCAAGCTATTGACAGATGACTTGAGGTACATTTGATTACCTTGGTCTTCCATGACTATGTTTAGCTCTGTTTGGTCTGCAGCATGCCCCAGGGTTAAAAACTCCTTAGAAGACAAAAGTTATATCAATTTTTTTTTTTATTACTCTTGATATTTTTTCTAATTTTAAGCCACTTTTAGTATATCTTGAAGTATATATATATAATTTTTAAAAATTTCCTACAGATTTCAGGACTTCAAAAATGTTCTATTTATGTCTAGCTTGGAGTTACTATCATGTATACTTGTGATTATTCTATTCAACCTAATATAAATCAGCTTTCACTTTAAAATAGTTAGACTTTTCATACAATTTAATGACATTGCTATCGATATTTAAGCTCTAAATTTGTATTTGGTCAATACTCTTTAAGAAAGGTGGTGAGCATTTTAAAAAATTTTTTTTATATAGATGCAATTGAATGTATGCTCCCTGTGAAAATTATAGTTATTTTCCTACACAAATGTTAAAATAAAAATATATTAACCATAGATGCTAATAAACAAAAAAATTCAAGACAATTAACATAATAAGGAAAGAAACTGAAAGGTTTCTCATTGATTTCAATAAATACCTTTCTAAATTAGATCAAATAAATTTGTCTACCTTATAAGTCAAATTGGCCTTTATAAAAACTTGACTTCTAGGGTAGGAAAGCAAATGAGTTTTCTGAATGCTGCCATAGCAACAAGGGCAGATAACAAAGGAAGCAAAAGAATTAAGGCACAACTGTAGGATCATGTCAGTTGCAGACCCACAAGCATGAAGGCAGGTTCCAACATCAAACTGGCCGGTGAAATAATCCAAATTGCACTGTGTAATACAACATAGGTAAAAAATATTGAAGTATCTTTCATGGTATGTTAGTGAGTGGCAATAATCAAAAGTCAGCCTATTAAAAATGTATTTCCTTCAGAGCTCCCTCCCACTCCATTCACACTCTTTTCTCCATGTCTTTGACTAATTTAAAAAAAGAAACCTATTTCATTTAGATATAGTGATATCCACAAGTTTCAAAAGAGCTGATGTATAATTAAGATACATTGTCTCATTGAAAACCCCGCTTTTTGCTCAAACTAAAAGGTAACTGATAAATGTGTACCTGATAGAGTATGACATTCCTAAGATTGAGAGATTTAAGTCTGTTGCAGGACTTAAGCAAAGATTCCTCCTTATTCTCCACTAAAAAGACTTGGCAATCTGGCAACATGTAGGCCAACACAATTCCTAGGTGTCCCTGAAATATTAGCTTTTAAGATTAAAATTTACAGTCTCTATTTTCTGAATTTTTATGTACTAATTAATATTACCTATTTCATGACAGGGGATATTAATAAATGACATGAACAAAAAGATCCATTTTCATAGTCCCTCCCCTTTGTAGCATGACAAAGATGGTTGGATATCCTTATCATACTAATCTTAAAAACAAATCAGCTCCCACACCCTGTCCGCAGGGAAAAAAAAAAGAAGGAAAGAGAAGCATTAAGGTTTTTAGAATTTTATAAGCAATATAGATCTAACCTATTATTTTTATCGTGTAAAAAATTTCACTTGAGATCAGTCATATTTATTTCAATATTTTAATGCATTTTTTTCTCCAAACTTTTTTTTTCTGTACAAACTAAATTTACATTGCATTCCCCAATGAAATGGTCAAAATGTAATTTCCCCAAAGGAAAAGGTTTAAATGTAATTTCATTGAAATTAACTCTTTATTTAAAAAGATAAAAATTAAAATGAGGGGAATTTTGTGTGTGTTCAATGTCTTGTCTTTAATTCTTTTACTGTTATAATTTTTTAGTAAGAAAACATTTCACTAAGCCCCATATGCATGTGGTCAGAAAATCTGACACTGCTTCCTCCTCTAATTGTGTATATAATATATAGAAGACCCCCGAAAGGAGAAATTAAACTAAAAACATCTCCTGGAGACACATAGAGACAAAAAACGCACCCCGCCACTACAGAAATCTACAAGTACATCTCCAGACTTGGCTACTGACTGGACAGCTGTCACCAAGTTCTCTATCTGCTGACACTTCCGTTTTGTTCTTTTCTCAGGAACATCACCTACAGAAGGAGATAAAAAAAAACACAAAAAAACATTTGTCACTCATATTATTTTACATGGGACATAAAGATTAGGGGCTTGATTTTTAAATATCCAACTAACCTTCTCTGGGATGGACATCAGGTGGCAGGCTTGACCAGTCTATCTGAACTTGTTCGCCACATGGATGTTCTCCTTTAACTGCTTGGACATTTGCATTCTGTTGGGAAGAAGGGCAAAGAATTCATAATGGTTTGTCACAAACTGGATCATGGATAAACAATTGCAAAAAAAAAATTGCAGAAATAAAATGTAAAACACAATTTTATCATATCAGTTTTGTGAGCAAGCTTATAGGCCTAGAAGGCTACCAGTGTTATTGGTGGTGCCAACATCACACGCTCTAACCATGCCTCTGACTAACATTAAATTATATATTGCTTATAACATCAAAAATACCTCCAGCTTTTTGACAGCCTGGATGACTTCTGGCTTGACTGCTTTGTGTTTCATTTTAGCACATCGACTGCAATTAAGTCCAAAGCCATGACAATGTGTACATGTCATTACAAATTTAAAAAAAAAACATACATTCATGTACTCACCAATGGATCTTGTTAAACTAAGAGTTTTTGTTTAAATTATTGTTACATGTCAAATACTTTTTCCCCCAAAATACTAAGTCTATTCAACTGCAACGGCTCTACCCAGATTTTTTTTTTTTTAAATCTTATCAGAAGAAAAGTAGATTATATGTTTGAAACTGGTGAAAGATCAACAACAGTCTGAGTCAGAAAGTGACAGATGATGAAATGGTTAATAATAAATAAAACCAACCTCAGCTCCATTTCATCATCATCATCATCACCGGCTGCAGGCTCTACTCCCTTGACAAATGTCACATCCATGTGATGGCCATCTGAACTGATGCATGCAGATGAGGACCTGACTGTCGTAAACAAGGTGGCCAAACTTCTCATTCTCCATCCCATCTTATGACCCGCGTCTGCTACAGTGGTTAATGATGCCATGTGGCACGCCCACTGCATAATGCTGGGAATATGCCCGTTTAGAGTCACATAATTAAAATCTAGAGTTTCCTGGAATAATAGGAAAAAAAACAATGCTCAAGTTAATTGTGTTCTGATAGTTTATAAATATTTTCTGGGATGAATATTAATTACAATGACTATATTTACATGGAGGAAAATAGACTTGGCATTATGTCAAGTGAAATCAAATCTAGACTTACCAGAAGATGGTAGAGATAAACAATCAGGATGAGATCAGCAACTGTCATCTCTATTCCCTCGGAATATGTATGGACATACTGGATATCCTTGACGTGAAGCTGTTGTATCAACTCTGAGATATCCATTTCTGTAGCTTTACCAGTCTCTTTATTAAACAGTGTGTCCTCAATGGATGAAAATGACTTTAATGCTCCTTCTGTTTCTTTAATACTGTTGCCATCCTTGAGATTTTTGTCCTTGTCAATAATTTTGTCAACTTTAACTTTACGCACACCATGATGCATATGAACGATCTGCTCTACAAGCAGTCGTGAATTTTCAACTAAGATCTTCTCAAAGCTTATTCTTGGTGATGTAGTAAAGTGTTGAGCATGAGAGTCAGGTTGATGACTGTAACCACCATTGGTGCTCTGAAGGGGATTCAGTGTTATTCCATTTGTTTGATCTGTTACGCTGTTTGCCCTATTTAATTTATCGTTATCTCTATTCACCAATGTGCCACCTTCAAAATAATTTGAGAAACTAGTTTTGAGCCTTATCAATTCAGTTCGACGCATTTTATCATCATTATGCACTCTACATTTCTTGAGGAAGTGATATTCTAGCTTAATAAGATCAGATGGAACAGTGAATACTTTTTTAACCGATTTATTTACCCTAAAAGAAAAAGATATTGTAAGAAGCTGAGCAAAAATAAACCTCTTCATTGCATGGCCATTGCCATTATTATAAATGTAGTTTTAAGCAGTGATGGTAAAGCCTTTCATAACAGCTTGGTTACATATTAGTAATCGTCAAGTAATTTTTACTCATACAGTTATTTCATATGACAAGAAAATTAATTTATCTTCTAATGATTATAATTCATTAGCCTACTAATCAATAAAATTAATAATATCATTGCAACTTAATAAATTTCTTTAAAATAATTTTTTTAAACGGGAGATAGCAAGCTGCACACAGAAAAATAAAAATAGTAAGAGAAATTCAATAGTGGCTCACTGCAGATTCTCAATCAATTCAGCAATTGATTCTAAGAGTTCCACCTCGCATAACTTGGTCCATCCAGAAATCTAATAAAATGAGATAAGTTTCACAAATGAAAGGTAGTCTTTATCATTAGCTGTTATTTTTTCAATAGTCTTCCAAAAAAAAAAAAATTTCTGTAGAATTTTGCATTTAAATAAATTGTTATGTCTTATAATTGAAATAAATTATGCAACCATGTAATTTGTTTAAGCTAAATTTCAGTCAGAGTATTTTTAGAGTTAGAGAACTTTAAATAAACTTGGTAAGAAAAATGTTAAAATGCTTCTTTAATTCATGTTTGAATATGAACATTTGTTACGGAAATTATAATTAGTTATTTTTATAGAAAGAAATATTTTTTTTTGAAAAATGAGAACTAACGTCATATCAAATCAATGTTAAATTTAAATTCTAAAAATGAAACACAAAAAGTTCTTCCGGTAAACACTTACCTCTGAACACATCTTCATGCTGCCTTCTCGAAAACCCTAAAAAATAGTTTATGGTAAAATTTAATACTATATAAATCTAATCAAAATATATTATTGTAGAAGAAATTACTCGTTAATATTATTCCATGTTCATTTAGATAATAGTTAATCTGCTTACAAGTATGAGATTACTTACCAAGAGATCAATCAAGTGTAAATGAGGAGAAGCAGTGTCTGAAAATTTAATGATGTGACGAAGTAAAACGCATAAGCCAGAGCGAATGAGAGACAACTCTGGCTGATATATGGCAGGCATGAGTACATTTCTGACAAGGCTAGGCACTTCTGACAATGATGAAAAGATAACATCGAGATCTTCAAGAAGCTGTGAAATAAACAAAATCATATCTAACACAATGTCAATATTAGTATCCAAGTACATGACACACATCCAAATGGGAATAAAGATGTGCTGTTCTCATCCCCAATCCACAAGGATATTTAATTAAGACTTTTTTAAAAGCAAGAGATTTCTTCAAATTTAACATAATTAATTCATTATAATCTTTTGTTCTAATGAATTTGTAGGAGACCTCTAATCTCTAAACATATGCAAATGCAAGAAAAGATCTTAATTTAACCTTAAACAAGCATATATTAAATTATATCTGCACAAACTAAATAGTCAACAAAATTATTTCAATATAAAAGAATACTGTAATAAAATGGTTACTTGTTAACATCTAACATTAAATGATTAACAAGTGCTTACCTTTAAGTTCAATGAGCAACAATTTCTCACACGATTTTCAGAAATAAAAATAAGTTCAAAATTATTTGTCTGACAATATCGAAGCATAAATATAATGGTGCTAGACGAAAGTGAACAGTGAAGAAGGGTCCCATCACCAGAAAGCAAGCCTTCTAGGTATAGTTTTGTCTTCATTATAACTATAGCTTCCACAATTTTGTTATTCAATCTGTTTCGAAGGAAAAATTTAAAAATCAAATATTGATAGCTGTCAAGTCATTCTTATATAATGGATATACTGGTAAGATTTTTCAAAATAATTTCTTGAACTCTACTAACTCAGTCTACTAATTTAACTATAAGCCTACTAATACTAGCCTAGCAATTTTGTTTATATTATAGGGCCTATCTAGCTCAACAATATTGCTCTAACTATTTAAATTTGGATAATATTTGAAACTGAGATGATTAGACCCCAACTATCAAACAAACTTTAAAAAATTGTTTAAAAAGAAATAGGCCTATATAATTAGACATCATCAGAACTTGGTATCGAATTCCACAAAATTACGCATCAAAGAGTTTCCACTTATTTGTGACTGTGACAGTGTGAGATAAAAGTGTCTAAAGATTTGTAACGAAATAAAAATAGCAGGATGTCTGTTATGTAGCACACATTGCGCGTGCGTGAACTTTCTTTGACCCCACATTAGACTACTAGCAGACGGTAACGTTTGTTGTGGGCGTGGTTAAATCTCTTTGATGTATTTTGTTTACAACCATGTTTACCAATTAAACATGGTTAGACTGTCTCCTAGCATCTTGTCGAATGTTCTCGATAACCCGAGAAATGTAAACAACACGTCATAAGTCTTTTCTGGAAGCGTCTTACGCTACATGTATAAAAGGGAGTGACAGATATGGAGAGACGGAGATTCAGATAGTTTTAGCTTCACGAGAGGTGTATTATTCTTTGTGTATTCATATGTGTTTATTTGCATTCTTCATTCATCAATATTCATTTGGCACATTGTACTAACTGTGTTAACTATGTACCGGTACAAGATCTACCATACTGTAAGTTGATGATTGTCATTATATTTTCTTTTCTTTTGTAATTATATTAAGACTTAAATAAATCTTATTAATTGTAACTAGCAACTGTTTTGGGTGTCGTATCTTTACTATTGTTGACTCTATGGTATCGTCCTTTGTTAGGCACTGTTTACAACGAGCCAAAAAAATTAAAATAGGATATTAATTTCCCACAAGAGAAGCCAGTGCGTAACAATGTCATATATGGAAAACCCCTGACTAAAATTAAAATTCTACTTGCAAAGTCTGTCAACATCTAATTTGATATTCAGACTGCATTTGAAAACTCAGTTAGTAGCGTACCTTAACTAAATGAAGTCTGAATGCAGCTGAGGGCCAACTCCAAAGATTTATCCCAAAACATACACACATCTATTATATAATGTTGATAATAAACATTAATAAAACTTACGCCCGGGGCACCCTTTTACTTTTAACTACACCACTGCACTGGTGATACTTACTCCCATTATCATTCACTCCAATCCCATAGGTCCCGGTTCAATGCTTTATATTTTAAATTATCGTAAGCCTATGATGAGCCTACTATATTATTATATATAATATAACAGTTAGGGCCTTTATAATAATTATTCTACAGCTAACAGTAACACATAATGGATATGTATCAGTCATAGATAGAAAGAATAGAGAGAGTAGAAAGGAAGATGGAACAGACCAGCCACACTAACTAAACCAGTGACATTGACATGTTCATGTCTATTAGATTATCATAATTCATAGCATTAGATTATCTTTAGGCCTACCATTTTATGAATTATTACCAGTCTAAATTATCTGACTGAATGAGTTTCTGACAACCAAATTAATGGGGGAGTTCTAGAAATTTTATATAATACTGGGAGAAATGTTTTATATTAAAATTATGATTTATAATTACTTTATAGGGTAGGGGTGGGTAAAAAAAAAAGTTTTTTGTGTTATAGTTATATAAATCATGGTAAATTTTAAGGACGAATGCCACTATTTTATCCAATTTCAGGAATGTAGGCCTATCCTTAAATTGATCCCTATGCCCAACCTGAACCCTAAATTGATCCCTATGCCTAACCTGAACCCTAAATCGATCCCTATACTATGCCTAACCTGAACCCTAAATCGATCCCTCAACCTAACCTAAACCCTAATTCAATAGTAATTCACTGCAACTATAATAAACACACAAAAGACGCCGTGGCATCCGTCCTTAATTTTAGTATTTTTAGCCGAAAGGCTCGACTTCAGTAATACAAAAAATTCAAGTACTGGGCTCAGCCATAGTGATAGTAGTAGAGGTAGAGTATAGTGAATAGACTTGCGGATGATGATGAGGGTTCAAGTGGTTGTCACTGTCACTAACACTAACTTTACCAGTTTCAAATCTCAAATCATTGAGTCACTCATTTGATTTTGCCTTTTAGGTTCTCTACATTTACTTTTTCCAGAGTGGCTATAGGTACCTATGGCCGGCACTGCGTACACCGCGGCGGTGTACCTAGCGAAACTATTGACTTTGGCCTGCGTACACCGCGGCGGTGTACCTAGCTAAATCATTGGTCTGTGACCTGCGTACACCGCAGCGATTTAAAGTGGCAAAACTATGGTCTTTGCGAGTCTTTAACTTTTTGGCCTAACCGGTACTTATAGATTTAATGTTATACTCGTGTTAAAACTGAAAACTATTTATTTAAAATTCGTTTATTACCTTGGGAAGATATTGAGTAAGTTCCACGCTTATGTGGCAAAGTACATGTAAAGCATTTCTTATTATTTTTTGGAAGGGAGGGGGCTGCAGTGGCGTAGCTATGCGATGGTGTTTGGCGCCCGGGACAAGATTCGCGCCCGGGACAAGATCCATTATTAGTGCCCTTTTTTCTTTTTTTTTCAACTCTCAAACCCATTATTTTCATCAATAAAATAATATCAAAGCACATTTTGACGCCCCTAACTAGCTGGCGCCCGGGGACATCTGCCCCCACCACGCTACGCCTCTGGGGGCTGGGGGTGTAATGTTAAACCATGATTCATTTTAAAGTTAACCACTTTATTCCCCCCTCCCCCAATATATTGAAATACAAATATCTTAATTAATTGTTGTAAGTTTTATCATAATGATTGTGAATCTTAAAAGGCATAAAAAGGGTAGCTAATTTTAAATTATTCTCTCATTGCCCCCCCCCCACCCAGTTGTTGTTGTTGGGTTTTTTTTTTGGGGGGGGGGCATTATAAATATATCATTGTATGTGATCCCTCGGGGCGTGGTGTAAAAATGAATGGGAAGCCAGTGAATCTATTTTGTTAGCACCAAGATATAATTACGCCACAAACACACTTCACATACTCATACATTGATCATGAAGTCGTGAAGTTAATGCTGTCTGAGGCATTGTCATTGTGATACCAAGCATTTGTCAACACAAAAACAACAGTATGATGATCAATACGAAACACTGCAGTGATTGTTAAAAGTCTTTTAACAATAATTAAATATCATTGATTTAGTTTTACATTGGCATTACACATTAGTAGAAAATGTCGGCGGAAGGGGGGGATGCAAAAGGTAAGTTTGTTGTGCGGACGTCCTTTGTGGTCAACCCCTATCCCGAGCCGTGATTTGTGAATGCCCCCTTTTTGGTTAAGCCTCTGCCCATAACTCACCACCACCCCCACCCCCCGGCAAGGATCGATTTCTTAACAAAAAAAAAAAAAACAAATACAAAAACTTTGACATAGCGCCAATCCTGTCCCAAGCCGGCCATTGTGCAATGGTTTCTGTGAGAAAATGTCGTTTTTTACCCTGAGAATAGCACATGCCAATGCCATTCTGGAAACAAATTCCGTTATGAAAAGGGTAGACGCAGACTTATGGCTTTGCTATACAGTTTGCTACCGCTCCGCAAGTTTCTAAAATCGAGGTGTTTTCAAAAGATTTGCTGTGGGACTGAGTGTTGTGAATGAACCTTTGATATCGTATGTACATTTTGCCAATGCATAAGGCATAGTGACAGCAAGATGGTTCAAGGTTGAAATACGACCATGCACATTAATGACATTAATATTCATATGGTATGAATATTATTCATACTGGTATTTTCTTTGGGTGTTCGTAAAAGTATAATGTAAATATTCAACTACATGAAGAATGTTGAAATATAATAGAATATCACTTAGTCACTTAGAATTCATAATGTTTCTCTTAAACATGTTACATACACTATACATGCGCTTTCAGAAACTTTAAGTTTGTTTTCAAATGTCTAAAGTCTTATTACTAAATTTACCGGTATTTTCAAAGTCAAAGGCTGGCACAACTTGTTGAAACACTTACATTTATATTGTGTATAAATATAATATTTAAACATATATTTAAATTGTTACAAAATATTTTAAAACTAAAATGGGAGGAAAAACAACTCGATCCCCTACTGAGGCCTACTGGGAATTGATCTCAAACTATATTTCCGCCAATTGTCCACTCTACCACTTGACCACAAAAGATCTTTTCTAACAAGCATATCTTAAAACCAGCCCAATGGTACATTTTTGCCGCGGTGTACCCAGGCCTAAGCCCACGATTTCACTAGGTACACCGCCGCGGTTTACGCAGGCCAAAGCCGATGGTTTCGCTAGGTACACCGCCGCGGTATACGCATCCACTTCGGGTACCTATAGTAGCAAATGGCTATTCGGACCCAGCTGATCACGTGAGGTCTCGTGACGGTCATGACGGACACTTCCTTTTGGTTTGCCATTATTGTCAATCGAGAAATGTGACACATTTTGAAGATTTTTATGAAGCGTTGAAGAAACACGAACAATGTGTCGTACAGCTGAAAGCAAGTAAGAATACGTTTATGTTTATAATTTTATTGTATTTTTTAATTCTATTTTAAATATAATTCAATAATCATTAACATGTTTCAAGATCAAAGTTGGTTGTTTTTTTTTTTGGCGGCAAATCGGCTACTGAGTGAACTGCCTTATTTGTTATTGTAATGAAAAGTTTGGCTGCAGCTATTCGGACCCGGTATCAGAAGTGGATACGGTAATCTACCACTTGAGCGTCGGCCAAGAAAAAATCCAGTTTAGAATGGCAATGAAGACATAAAAACCATTTACTTTAACACATTGACGCCACATGAACTCACACATATACATATATCATATACCATGCCATATACTTATACAAATCGCGCATATGTCTGTGTGTGCCGTTGTGGCGCTTGTTTCTCTCTTATGCAGATTTCCACAAACTTTCGATGCTTTGGGTATTGGCTATTGGCACCTGAGTTTGGATCAAAAACTTAACAGAATGAATGACCGTTTGATGAGTCAATCCCGGAGTGGTGCCAATTGCATTATATGCTCTCCATTGATCTGATATGACTGTTGTGCCCAGCAGGATGTGTACTGTGATTATTGGCATAAGAGTGATGTGTAGCTGCTGATCTATCTTGTACACAAAACATGAAACACTCACTAATCTCCCGACAAATGCCTCCAGAGACCCATTGTTGTGGCAAAACTCGCCCGACATGATTTTTTCTGCATGCAAACATACTCGTCGATTTCAACTGAGAATAAACATGACTTACCAGTGTAAATTATGTGAATTTTTTGATGGATGAAGGATGAATCGATCTTAACACATGTGTTTTGGGAAATAAGGCCCTTTAGACACCCCTGGCACAGAGTTCTACTCCTTTTCCTGCCCTCGGGGTACTTTTTGGTTGCTACAGACAGAGCGATCCTTTTCACCATCGTGCATCCAATTATGGTTTATTTGAGCTGGATGTTACTGAGAAAGTTGTCTGCATACTTATTAGTTATTATTATTATTCTCTCTCACAAACATTTTAATGATATATTGTGTAAAAATTAGGATAAGTACTCAAATAGAGTGCTTATCCCATGAAGCATATTTAAAGGCTCTATTTTTTCTAAAAATTCATAGGGGTCATCTCTATCCAATTCAGAACCCCTAATCCAAGGATTCACAACATTATCGTAAACATAATCATTTTGATTATCTTCATTACTTTCCTGATTGTTTTCGTCAGTGTCAGATTCTCTGCTAGACAGCAAGAGATCAAGAGGGTTACGTCCCAAGAGGGTTAACGAAAAAGCTTTCGGGTGACCAGCTCTCCTACCAGCAATGCTGCTAGTACATGAATTTCAAATATCCTAGTCCAAAGTTTCCCAAGCGTTTGGAGTCACAGCACCGTTGCTGCACCCACGTCTTTTCAATTTTGCTCTAAGCCACATTCTTTGTGCACTGTAAAATAGCACTTTTTAAACAATCTAATCCATTTTTTGAAACCTTATACTTATACAAGAAGACATACCTCAATAACTTCACTTGACTCTATCAAAACAATATTTAATTGATACAGCATAGACGCTGCACAAAACCAACTGCTACTTTAATAAGTACAGAGTACCGTACCAAGTAGGTTGGAGAACTAGTGAAAAATACCAACTTAATTATAAATGGCTTGCATCAAGTCCATTCATTTTTTAACACTTCAGGTTGCAGCAGGACAGTCTGGGAGCCTTTGTCCTAGTCATTTACATGCCATAATAAACACATATCTTTACATTTTCTCTTAACACCTAGCATCATCCTAATCCCCCTTCCAATTCCAATAATAAATATTAGTATCTTGATCCTTTGAATGCACTTTATATAAAAATAAATCCAGCTAGTGCATGTCAGAAATATCAAAAGACTGTATTGGAATGGTTAGTTTCACTGATTAGGTCAGGGTAAAGTCTTGCACATTCCTAATTTAGTTAAAATTAGATTAAAAAATCCCTAAAAAATCTAAATTTCCTTCTGACATATTGAGTGCATTTTTGCTGTAAAAGAAATGATTGAAAAATTCAAAAGAGCTATTTAGATGGATTGCTTCTTAACTTATATTTAGATTCATCAGTCGCTATAGCATATATTTTTTGGGTTAAAATCATAGTAGTAATAATCAAGAGTTACATCTTGCAGGTTAGAATTATATTACTATTGATCTGTGACAAAAAATCTTATTTAAATTTTTAAAGATTCACTACTGTAATGCAGTTGTAGTTAAAATCTTGCACTGAGCTTGACGTGACCATTTTGAAGGTTTTCTTTTGTTCATTTAACACCACCTCCCTAATTCCAATAGTGGTTGGACTTTAACTATTTAATAGATTAAATAAACAAAGCTATTCAACTTTCCCTTAGAGAACCAGGAATTTTTTGTCGAAACACCCATGCAAACATGGCTGGTGTAAAAGCAATGATTACACCAAGTGTGTGATTAATTTTTTTGGTACTTTTTATGATGGCAACTTTCATGTTAAAATTGTTCATAGGGTATTGTCTTCATATTAATGCAAGCTTGAGCTCTAGTATAATACATTTTCTGTCTTCTACTAATTAATGTATTATTTTACTTCCAGGTTAAAGTTGTTGTTTTCACAGAGAT